TTCTTTTTGCTTATGTGGTGCTGGGGAATCGAACCCAGGGCCTCAGGCATGCAAGGCAAGCGCTCTACCACTGAGCCACCTTCCCAGCCCGATTATTTATTTTTACTGGCTTGAAAAAATCTTGGGCATGTGCCTATAACTGTAGCCCTTGCCACTAAAGTGACTGACGCAGAAAAATCTCTTAGTAATTCAAGGCCACCCTTTCTCTTACTAAAAGCTGGTACTCTACAACTTGAAACATCTCCACTTATGGCATTTAGATGCTTAATTGGAAATAATAGTCTCATAGACTTACTTGCTGGCCCAGTGGTAATTGGAACCATGATTCTCAGATCTCAGCCCCCTGTGTAGGTAGCTAGGATTACACTCAGGGTGAGACACTGGTGCCTAACATTTCTTTGTATTAATACGCTTTTCCCCCCAAAAAATTAGGAGTATTCATTAATTACTTTTAGATTAATTGTAGGTGTACTCTTGTTTATGGACCAGTTTTGTCTGGGCTTATGTTTAGTGAGTTTAAATAATATATTTGGGAAAAATAAAAGTCTCGGGCTGGGAAGGTGGCTCGGTGGTAGAGCGCTTGCCTTGCATGCATGAGGCCTTGGGTTCAATCCCTCAGCACCACATAAGCAGAAAAAGCCAGAAGTGGCGCTGTGGCTCAAGTGGTAGAGTGCTAGCCTTGAGCTGAAGAACTGAGGTACAGTGCCCAGGCCCAGAGTTCAGGCCCAACGACGGACAAAACTAATAATAATAATGTATTTGAGTGTAATTGTATGAAATTTAAATGATTTTTTCACAAATAAGAACTTTAAATATTATATATGAGTTCAGAATATTAAATGAAATATTTTTATTTGTATTAATTAATTTTGATTTTTAGGTTTTTCCTGATGAATTTCATCTCCAGACATTGAATCCTTTTCTTCGGGCCTGTGCTGAGTTACACCAAAATGTAAATGTAAAAAATATAATCATTGCTTTAATTGACAGGTAAGATCTTCTAAAACTTGAAGGTAAATGCTTTAACATAGGAATAATGAATTTAAAGTATTTTTGTGAATTATTTCTATTGCATCTTTATTATGTCAGGAGTTTTGAAGAAATTATAACTAGTATAACTGTGAATGAGCATCTAGTAGATATTTCTCTGACTTAGACATGAAAGAAATTTAGCTTTTAATGGTAAAGGTCTAGAGGTAATAATTCTTCCTCCCCCACCCCCTGTTTTTTTTTTTTTTTTTTTGTGCCAGGGGCTTGCTCAGGGCCTGGGCATTGTCCCTGAGCTTCTTTTGCTTGAAGCTAGTGCTCTACCACTTGAGCCAAAGTGCCACTTCCAGCTTTTTCTGTTTATGTGGTCCTGAGGAATCAAACCCAAGGCTTCATGCATTCTACACAAGCACTCTACCATTAAGTCACATTCCGACCCCCCCCCCCGGTTTTTGTTTTTTTGTTTTAGTTTTAGGGGTTTTTTGGGTGCCAGTTTTGGGGCTGGAACTCAGGACCTGAGTTCCTGAGCTATTTTGCTCAAGTATGGTGCTCTCCTACTTGAGCTCCATTTCTGCTTTTTTGTAGTTAATTGCAGGTAAGAGTCTCATGGACTTTTCTGCCCAGGTTGACTTTGAACCATAATCCTCACTTGAACCACCAGCATGGGAGACCCTGTGTTCCAATTCTAGTACTGCTAAAACAGAACAACAAAAAAGTGCAATTAAACCATTCTGCTGTCACTTTTTCTTAAAAAAATTTTTTTTGTGTGTGTGTTGGTCGTGGGGCTTGAACCCTGGCCCTGAGCACTGTCCCTCAGCTCTTCAGCTCAAGGCAAGCACTCTACCACTTGAGCTACTGCGCCACTTCCGGTTTTCTGGTGGTTTATTGGAGTTAAGAGTTTCCCGGACTTTCTTGCCTGGGCTGGCTTTGAACTCAATCCTCAGATCTCAGCCTCCTGAGTAGCTAGGATTACAGGCATGAGCCAACTGCGCCTGGCTTCTTAAAAATTTTTTAAAGTGTCTTATGTCTTTAGTAAATACTGTTTAGTAAAAACCATTTGTGTTTCAGCCATTTGTCTTGGTTAAAAAAAAATAAAACTGGGCATTTCATAATGGCTTTTTAAAAATATCAAACTTGAGGGCACCTGTGGCTCACGCCTGTAATCCTAGCTACTTAGGAGGCCGAGATTGAAGATCGAGGTTCACAGCCAGCCCAGGCAGGAAAGTCATGAAACTCTTATCTCCAAATTACCCACCTGAAAACTGGAAGTGGCACTGTGGCTCAAGTGGAAGAATGCTCATCTTGAGCTGAAGAGCTCAGGGACAGCACCCAGGCCCAGAGTTCAAGCCCCACAACCAACCAAAAAAAAAAAATCAAACTTGGCTTTCCATATAATAAGTGACTGCTTTGCAAATATGCTGTATGAAAGATAGCATAAGCTGGGCACCAATGGCTCATGCCTGTAATCCTAGCTACTCAGGAGGCTGAGATTTGAGGATTGTAGTTCAAAGCCAGCCCACGCAGGAAAGGCCATGAGATTCTTGATGAAAATGTTCTTTTTTTTTTTTTTTTGTCGGTCGTGGGGCTTGAACTCTGGGCCTGGGTGCTGTCCCTCAGCTCTTCAGCTCAAGGCGAGCACTCTACCACTTCAGCTACAGCGCCACTCATGAGATTCTTTTATCTCCAAAAAAACACTCAGAAAACCAGAAGTGGCACTGTGACTCAAGTGGTAGAGTACTAGTCTATATTAATATTCTAGAAGAAATTGACTTATAGAAAGTAACAGCAAAGTAGCAAGTAATAAAATGTCATCTATAGTCCCACTATCCAGATTCCTATATCTTTTATTTATTTTTTATTTTTATTTTTGTCGGTCGTGGGGCTTGGACTCTGGGCCTGGGCGCTGTCCCTCAGCTCTTCAGCTCAAGGCGAGCGCTCTACTACTTGAGCTACAGCGCCACTTCCGGTTTTCTGGTGGTTTATTGGAGATAGGAGTCTCATGGTCTCTCCTGCCCAGGCTGGCTTTGAACCATGATCCTCAGATCTCAGCCTCCTGAGTACTAGTATTACAGGCGTGAGCCACCAGCGCCCGGCTCCTATATCTTTTAAAATAAAAGTTGTTTTCTTTTTTAGATTAGCTTTATTTGCTCATCGTGAAGATGGACCTGGAATCCCAGCTGATATTAAACTTTTTGACATATTTTCACAACAGGTGGCTACAGTGATACAGGTTTGTATAGCATTTCTTCTAAGTTCTCAAAACTTTTAAATATCTCTGCTGCAAATTAATAAAATGTATGGTTTTCTCAAATTTTCAGTCTAGACAAGATATGCCATCAGAGGATGTTGTGTCTTTACAAGTCTCTCTAATTAATCTTGCAATGAAATGTTACCCAGATCGTGTGGACTATGTTGATAAAGTTCTAGAAACAACAGTGGAGATATTCAATAAGCTCAACCTTGAACAGTAAGTTAGGTGACATTCTTGTGAAAATCTTTATAAAGTAATTTTTTTGTCCTGGATTTGTTTTTCTTAATTGCTCTTTTTCTTTTTATAGTATTGCTACCAGTAGTGCAGTTTCAAAGGAGCTCACCAGACTTTTGAAGATACCTGTTGATACTTATAACAATATCTTAACAGTCTTAAAATTAAAACATTTTCACCCACTCTTTGAGTATTTTGACTATGAGTCCAGAAAGAGCATGAGTTGTTATGTGCTGAGTAATGTTCTAGATTATAACACAGAAATTGTCTCTCAAGACCAGGTAAGATAATACCAATATTTTATTTTAGAGAAACAGAAAATGTAGTTACTATCTTAGACCTTGAGATTTAGACATGTGAGAAAGCAGGAAGTGTTATTTAATCTAAAAGATGTTTCAGATAGCTTATTCATTATATAAATTAGAAAATTTGAAATATATGCAGATATATCACCTCTGATTCCACCACAAAGAGTTTTTATTAACCGGGGTTGATTAATGTTAGGAGCATCTCTTTCCACATGTCGCCATATATGTGTGTCTTGACAATCAAGTAGCAACATTTTTACAAATTATTTCACTGATATTTCTTTGTAACTTTACACAGAAACAATTTTAAGTTTTGACAGCTGTTATATGCTGATGGTTTTACTTTAGTGGATTTCTTGTTTTTCTCATAATGCAGGTGGACTCTATAATGAATTTGGTATCCACATTGATACAAGATCAGCCAGATCAACCTATAGAAGATCCTGATCCAGAAGACTTTGCTGATGAGCAGAGCCTTGTGGGCCGATTCATTCATCTTCTGCGGTCTGATGACCCTGATCAGCAGTATTTGGTATGTGGTAACTCACTGTAACCCTTTGCCAGGTCCTAACAATTAATTTAATTAACAATTTAATTTAATTTCAACTGAATTAAATATTCATGGCATCTGTGAGGTTTTACTTCTTTTTTTTTTTTTTTTTTGGGGGAGGGTGGTGTTATGAAACAAGGCTGGCCTTGAATTTGATGCTCCTACCTCAGCTTCCTGAGTGCTAGGATTACAAGCATGTGCCTCTACCAGCTGGGTTTTACTGCTGAGTCATGTTTTCACCCCTCTCTGCACTAGTTATTTCTGACTTAAAGTCCTACTTCCTAGGTAGGAATGTGCTACCATTCTCACTTCTGTTGAGATGGAGTCTTTTGATTGAAAAGGAGCCTTGCATGTATGCCCACATTGGCTTCAGTGGTGATCCTCCTGATCTTAGTTTCCCAATAGCTATTATTATAGTTATGAGCCACGAGTGTTCTTTTCTTTAAATTGGTACGAGAGGGCTGGGAAGGTGGCTCAGTGGTAGAGCCTTGCATGCCTGAGACCCTGGGTTTGATTCCTCAGCATCACATAAGCAAAAAGAAAAAAGCCGGAAGTGGCGCTGTGGCTCAAGTGGTAGAGCGCCAGCCTTGAGCTGAAGAGATGAGGGACAGTGCCCAGGCCCAGAGTTCAGGCCCCACCACCGGACCCAAAAAAAAAAAAATTGGTACTAGAGTCTTGAAATTACAGTTTTGTACTTGGTCTGCTTGTTTGCTCTGTTGGTACTCTAGAACTCAAGCAGAACTGCTACCCCTTCTTTTTGCTAGTTATTTTTTCAGTTCTTATTTTTGTATTATTATAAAGGCAATGTGCAAAGGGGTTACAGTTACATAAGTCAGGTAATAATATATTTCCTTTTAGACAATGTCACCCTTTTGCTTTCTCCCAGTTTTTCCCTACAGTCCCTGCCCACAAATTGTATAGTTTATTTTCAACAGTTGTTGGTTATTTTGAGGATGGAATCTTGTGGGTTTTTCTGCCTTGACTGGCTTCTGGATCTCAGCCCCTTGAGTAGCTAGAGTCACAGGTATGAGCCCAACTCCAGGCCTTTTATTTTATCTTTTGCCCGTCTTGGGGCTTGTACTCAGAGAGTGGGCACTATTCCTGAGCCTCTTTTTGGTCAAGGGTAGCACTCTACCACTTGAGCACCTCCTCCAGCTTTTCTGAGTAGTTTATTGGAGATAAGAATCTCACAGACTTTTCTGCCTGAGCTGTGATCCTCAGATCTCAGCCTTCTGAGTAGGTAGTAGGTGCAGGCATGAGCCACTGGTGCCTAGCCCAGGACTTTTATATAAATGAATAACTGTAAACTTTTGGATCTTATGAGAAACAAGTTAGATGCTATGGTTTGGGATTGTTTCTGTTGTTGTTGCTTTTTAAACTTTGTGAGAGTTCCAGAAAAACTGGTCTTTAGGTTCTTATCCTATAATTACTCTATATTAAACTTCTTTTAATAATAAACTTTAAAAGAAATATAAACTTGATAATCAATTTCCTTTATTTTTCCAAGTTGTATTTGTTACATTGAAAGTGCGTTAAGAACTTTAAAATTGAGTTGCCTTTTCCTGATAAAGACAAATCAGTCCTCAGTTACCATTAGTCCTCAGTTAATCTTTGTGAAGTGAATAAAATAAGTTGCCCAAGCAGGACACAACAACAAATCATGAATCATTTATTTTAGTGTAAAGTAGCATGTCTGACTCTAGTTACTGTTAGTACAAAGTAGCTAACCATAGTTGTTAGGCTACTATAATGAAAAAGGGATCATTTGAGAAATGAAATTATTTGAGAATGGATCATAATTGTCTCCTCTTGGGCATGTCATAGTTCACATTCTTTTTTGTTTTTTTTGCCAGTCGTAGGGTTTGAACTCAAGGCTTGGACACTGTCCCTGAGCTCCTTTTTGCTCAAGCCTAGAATTCTACCACTTGAGCCACAGCACTTCTGGCTTTTTCTGTTTATGTGGTAATGAGAAATCAAATCCAGGGCTTCATGCATGCACTAGGCAAGTATTCTACCACTAAGCTACATTTCCTGCCCATAGTTCACATTCTTGTACTTATTCATAGTTGGCTTAGAATAAGAGGCTGATTTCAGTTGCTAGTGTCTTAGTCGTGTGTGTGTCTGTGTGTGTGTCTGTGTGTGTGTCTGTGTCTATCTGTCTATGTCTACATCTATGTCTATGTCTACATGCACATGTGTGAACTCAGGGTCTTGGTGCTGTCAGTCTTTTTGCCCAAAGCTGGCACTTGAACCACACTTCGAGTTCCAGTTCTTTACTGGTTAATTGGAGTCTCAAGGATTTGCCTGCCTGGGCTGGCTTCAACTGTGATTCTCAGAGCTCAAGCTCTAGAGTGGCTAGAATTCTAGTCATTACCTGCACCCAGTGTAATAGCTTTTGACTTTTCTTAGGGATGAATATTGAACAGTGTGTTCTGCGTACATATAGTGACTGTTCCATTATTTAAAAATGATTCCTTATGTTTCTGTGTGAGGTATGTTTTCATTTTGTTTCATATCACACATAGTAGATACACAATTGTGTGTATATATGTGTGTATGTGTGCATGTGTACACGTGCATGCATGTGCCAGTCCTAGGGAACTCAGGGCCTGGATGCTGTCCCTGTGCTTTTTTGCTCAAGGCTAGCACTCTACCACTTGAGCCACAGCTCCACTTCTGACTTTTTGATGGTCACTTGAAGATTAGAGTTTCCTAGACTTTCTTATCTCAGCTTTCTGAGTATATAGGATTAAAGGCATGACCCACCAGTGCCCAGCCAGTATACAACTTTCTAAGTAGAAAATGGCTGATTGGTTATGCCTATGTACATTTAAGGATATAATAATTCATTCTGTTGTAAGAGGGAATGAAATTACCCATCCATTATATCAGAGAAATTCATAAAACTTGAATGTTATTCCTTATTTTGTATATTAAAAATTTTTTTGTAAGAGAAGGAGAGGGTAAAAATGCCTAAGAAGCATTGTACTCATACCTGACTTATAAAATTGTTACCTCTTTATACAACTCCTTAAAAAAAATAATACTAGAGGGCTGGAAATGTGGCTTAATGGTAGAATCCTTGCCTAGCATGTATGAAGTCCTGTGTACAATTCCTCAGTACCACATAAACAGAAAAAGCTGGAAGTGGCACTGTAGCTCAAGTGGTAGAGCACTAGCCTTGAGCAAAAGAAGCTTAGAGACAGTGCCCAGGCCCTAAGTTCAAGCCTCAGGACTGGCAAAAAAAAAAAACAAACAAAAAACAAGAGGAACTGCTTTTTTCTGATACATCTACACATTTCTTTTACAGTACATCTTTTAAGTTGTATTGGCATTTTTCCCAATTTAAATAGGCTTAATATTTTCTGAAGTAGAAATATGATTTACCATCAATATGCATATAGTTGTTTTTGCATCATAGCCAATATATTCTGAGCACATGCATGGGTCAGGTTCTGATTACAGTTCACATTAATTACTTGGTTTTCCAGCTAGGCCTGGAAATACTTGGCATATTTATCCAGGATCACACAGGTAGAAAGTACTAGAATCTGCTTTTTTTTTTTTTTTTGCCAGTTCTGGGGCTTGAATTTAAGGCCTCAGCACTGTCCCTGAGTTTCATTTGCTTAAGGCTAGCACTCTACCACTAGAGCCACAGCACTTCTTCCAGCTTTTTTGTGTGTATGTGGTATTGAGGAATCAAACCCAGGGCTTCATGCATGCTGTTAGACAAGCACTCTACCACTAAGCCACATTCCCAGCCCTAGAATCTACTTTTTTTT